GGCAAAACCTTGGTATTTTCACAAGTGCTGACTTGGATTTCGTGGTCAGCTGTAGAGTTGTGACAGGCCCTGTGGGTCAGCCTGAAAGGATGAAACGGTACTCAGATTTGGCTGTGGAGTGCTGTGGGTCATGGCACCAACCGGTTCACCTACCTGGTGTCGGTCGAACTCGCTACTTGGTGGACTGGTCGGGGTCCAGGTAGAAAGACCATGAAAGACCATGTGGTCTTCCTAGAGCTCCTGCCCCACATCCTCAGCTAGTTCCACCTGGCCCTGACCCCACGCCTTCTCACAGAGGTAGGCTAGGACACCAATTCATCCAGCACATGAACTTCAACCTCACCCTCCCACGATGGCCCGTGCTGTCACCTTGGCCTGACTGGTACCCGGCGTCAACGATGAGGTCGACCGAAGTAAACCCCATGGTTTCAACACCCATCGACCCCATCGTCGCCTTTTTGCCCGGAGATGGCGGTCATGGCAGCAGTGGTTGGCTAAACGCGAAGAGAATGGATTACAGTATATACTTGCTGGAGGATGACCCACAACCATCCCAGACATCGCAGACATGATGTTCCATTCCCATCCCAGACACGAGTTTACTGGGACGAAAGACAAGTTGCCGCCCCAGAAAGACCCCTCACCCACCCCAATGTAGGATCATGTAGAGTCCCATGGTCAGCCCCATGAGTCGTGTTTGGGCGCTTTCTGGCTCCATCGATGAACGCGACTCCATCGGCTCATGTAGAAGTGCCGTCTCCGGTCTGTTGAAGTGCCGTCGGCGGCAAGCGATGAGAATAGGTATATGATAATGGCTTTAATCACACCGTCCTTGGATATCCTTGGTATAGGAAAAATCGGTTCATAAAGTTGTGGGCCTTTGAGGACTCAGAGAAAACACGTTTGGTTTCATCCGTATCACCCACAACCGGGTCCCTTGAGAGCCAGGGTCCCTTGAGTCATTAAGGATGTCGCCATGTCGCACAAATCCTTTGATGAAAGGCTATCCTATCATGTTCGTCGCTTTCAAGGCAAACAACCACGGAATGTCTTGAAACGGTACGAGCAGCGCCTTCATGTGGCACTGAAATCCGATGAGCTGCAGAAGTATGCATTTCATGTGGCCGCTTGGGTTGCAGAGCTTCCAGCTGAGCAGATGTGTCTTCAGTATGATGGGCTGTCTGCCGTGTCACTTTTGCAGCAGTACGTACGATCCTTTAAGCAGGCGAAACCTTTGTGTGAACATTTGACAAAGGTTCTAACCAGGGTTTCTGAGCGACTCAACACAGATTCAGAGCTTGGGATGCAATGGGCAGGCCTTCTGCAGGATCTCCAACATTTCGTGCCAGAGGCAATATCAGCCAAATCTACAAAAGCAGCCAGGCTGATGAATAAGGCACTACTTGTTTGGAGAAACACTACTTGTGAGACGGACCAAGAGGCATATGTTTCTTCATTGGAGCAATCACTTGGAGTAGTGGAGACTGGCGACCTTTGCCAGATCCGCTCCATATTCCGGCGGGCAGTGGCAGCATTGTCTCCACCTCACTGTACAAGTCCAGTTGCTGAAAAAACATCAGGTTCTTTGCTGCAGCTGAAATGGACGCTGCCAGATCTTCAATCACGGCTCCGAGAAGTAGTTTTGAGATGTCTAGACCACCTAGATCTAGCTGATTGCAAGGTGGAGCCGGCCTTGCAGTTCCTCAAAGCGCTGGTTGCTCGGTTCCAGGAGCTTGACGCCCAGGATGGAGATATCAAGATTGGGTGCAAACATCATTGGCGATTGCTGGAGGAAAAGTGTGGCCTTGCTAATCATAAGGCCACTCTGGCCTCTCAAGCTGGCAATAGGAAAGAGGCATTCAAGCGTTGTGAGCACGGCGCTAGACCCGACAAATGCCGAATATGCCGTCCTTGCCCACATGGCAAGGTCAAGAACTTTTGTGAGAAATGCTTCCCGTGCCCCCATGGCAAAGTCAAGTGGAACTGCGCCGAGTGCTATGGCTGCATTCATGGACGAGGCAAGTATCACTGTCGTGTGTGCAATGCTTGCGTTCATGGCCGGAACAAGTACAAATGCAAAGTGTGCAGACTGGAGAAGGAGGAAAAAAGGACAAAAAATGATTTGTTTGTTGTGTCATGTTCTGCAAACAACTGAGCCAAAGTCTGCGCCAACAAGGGCTTGCTTTAGAGGGATGCGCATTCATGGAACATGATAGATTGAAGCAACACCATGTTTATAAATTGGTTTATATATAATATTACATCATTACTGTATATATCCATATTCTCACCCCCTAACCTTTTGCACCAAGTTTGTTTGACGGTGATGCGTTGAGGTGACTGAAACGTGTTGGGATAGACATCCTTCAATATCCTCAAGCACGTCCTCTAACATTCTTCTATCCCCAATTATCCTCAAGCATCCTTCAATTTGCCATGCACTATAATGGGCCTTCACTCTTTCAACTGGCTTAATTATAGCTTTTGTTCGACGCTAAATTGCATTTGCATTTGTGATTCCTCCACCGGTAGGTGGACGTGCTATAAAGGCGGCGCAACCGGGCGGCCCCCGGTCTGTCAGCAACAGGTTTGGTGGCTTGAAGTTCAAGCTTTCCAACTTCTTTTTAATCACAATGCAAGTCCCGAATCCGCGAACTTCAGAATCCGTTTGCACACTCCCTGTTCATTGACCAAGTTTGATTCCAGTTGATTTATGCGCTGATCCTCGCACACGTGGCAGCGATTCAGAACGTGACAAGGCAGATAGTTTAGGGAACATGAATCAACAAGACCTCGCATATATTGACTGTTCGTTCAGAGGGGTGTCGCCCACAACATTATCATTCTCGGACAATTTGGGATCAACCCCTGGACCTTCGGGGTTTCCCTGGTCACTTTGTGTGAACCGCACGTCTTCGGTTGATTCACCAGGCGACTCCCGTTGAATGCCTGCCCCCGGCACGACACCAAGTAAGTGAAAAAAAAAACGGTTAGCCGAGCTTCAATAGCGCAGCAGTCAATGTCCTGAGTGATCAGCTTGTCAATCACTAGAAGTCCAAGACAGGCACTCTAGTCTATTTCTCATGTTCTCCATGTTTTCTGGAGCCGGATACCAGATAGACGCATTTCATGACACAAGTAAGTCGACGACTAGTGGAAACGTGCGGTTTGCGATGCCTTTCACTCTCACTCTCACACTCACTCACTCTCCCACACTCACTCTCAATTTGTAGTAACTAGAATAGATGTAATTAGTATCATCATCATCACCATCACCATCACCATCATCGTCATACCAACTTTTGGAAGTTCTCCGTTTCGTTTGGGTTTGCAATGCCTTCGAGAACCTTTGACGAGAGGCTATCCTATCACGCTCGTCGCTTTGAGGGAAAGAAACCTCAAAATGTCCTGAAGCGATATGAGCAGCGCTTTCACGTGGCACTGAAATCCGATGAGCTGCAGAAGCATGCATTTCATGTGGCTGCTTGGGTTGCAGAGCTTCCAGCTGAGCAGGTGTGTCTTCAGTATGATGGGTTGTCTGCCGTGTCACTTTTGCAGCAGTATGTGCAGTCCTTCAAGCAGGCGAAACCTTTGGGTGAACATTTGACAAAGGTTCTGACCAAGGTGTTTGCAAGAATACGCTCAGATTCAGAGCTTGAGATGCAATGCCGAGGCCTTTTGAATGATATCGGGCATTTCATTCCTGAAGCCAAGAAAGGTATAAAAGCAGCCAGGCTGATGAATAAAGCGATACTTGTTTGGAGAAACACTACTTGTGAGAAAGACCAAGAGGCATATGTTTCTTCATTGGAGCAATCACTTGAAGGAGTGGGAACTGACGACCTTTGCCAGATCCGCTCCATATTCCGGCGGGCAGTAGCTGCATTGTCTCCTCCACGCTGCGCAGTCGAGCACGCCGGAGGCACGGCAGATGCCTTGTCGCAACCAGGAGCAGCTAGAAGAGATGTGCAATTTCGGCTCCGGAAAGTCGTATTGACTTGTTTGGGACGCTTGGATTTAGATGATTCCAAGGTGCAGCCGGCCTTGCAGTTTCTCATATCGATCCTCAACAAGTTTCAGGAACTTGACACTGAACCCCACCAGATCGGTTGCCAGAAGCAGTGGCGTTTGCTGATAGTAAAGTGTGGCATGTCCTTTGCGAGTATAGAGGAGGACTCTGTAAGACCTCAAGCTCGGACGAAGCAGAAGCGCATTCTGTGTCCACATCAAAAGAGACGAGACATGTGCCGACTTTGCCACCCCTGCCCACATGGCAAGACTCGACACTTTTGCCGAATGTGCCATCCTTGTCCACATGGCAAGCTGAAGACACATTGCGAAAAGTGCACTCCATGTCCACATGGCAAGAACAAGCGCAACTGTAGAAAGTGCACTGCTTGTGAACATGGCAAGAGCAAATACCACTGTCTTGTGTGTAATGCTTGCTCTCATGGCCGGAACAAGTACAGATGCAAATTGTGTAAGCAAAAACCGGAAGAAAAGGAGGTTTGCTTAGTTCTTAGGCCTGCATCGTGTTCCGGGAACACTCTGTAGGAACAGTTCCAACCACCCGGGGCGCACTCTGCATGGTGCAATTGAACATGTCTTTTTCCCCACCTGCCAGGTGAGGGTTGTTAGATTTTATCACAGTTGTTCTTCCTCCTTCCTTCCTTCCTTCCTTCCTTCCTTCCTTCCTTCCTTCCTTCCTTCCTTCCT